CCCCCAAAACCCCAAAACCCCAAAACCCCAATACTTAAATTTTATATTGTAAATATTTATTTTGTGTGGAAGTAAGGAAATAAGGAGGAGAATACCCTTTAGTTTGGGGAGGAGGGAGGAAGGGAGGAGAGGGGGTTTGAGGGGATAAGATAGGGGTTTGGGGATTTTGGGCTTGGGGTTGGGGTTGGGAATTTGGGGGATTTGGGGAGTAGGGTTTTGAATGGGAGAAGGGCAGGAAGGAAGATTTTAGGTGCGGTGTTGAGCATAATGTGTATCTCTCATCCTGTGGGTTTGAAATTGCTTACTTTTGTGTATAGAATGGCGGATAGTATAAGTGTTCAGAAATTTAAGCCAAAACTATTATTTCCAAGTCATACTCCTCAGAGAGAAAAAGAGCATGATCAGACACTACTCTCAGACACTGACTCAGAAATAGAGAATAATATCACTGTTTACAATAAAAATGGGCACAAGGATCATTGGGCTGTTTTAATGAAGGCAAAAGATGAAGAAGCTAATGAAAGAGTAATTTCCCTTTAACATCTGCATAGGAGAAACTAGAAAGAGAAGAGTTTAAACATAAACAAGAGCAGTATAAAAGAGACCTTGAGTCTCAAATAAAATCTAACAACAGTCAGTTCAAGAACCTAGAAAGACTGGGTAAAGATATGGAGAAGACTCAGACATCTCGCATGGTAAGTTCACCCTTGACAACATTTAGCTGGAAAACATCAGGAAGGATATTAACAAGGAAGAGCATACCAAGTTTCATAAATAAGAAGAAAGAGCTCGAAATTGCTCGAGAAAATCTTGACAACTATTCAGCTCTCAGAAGAATTAAGAAGAAGACAGATGAAGAGGAAGATAACTATCTTAAATCTTACATTGACAAGAAAACGAAACAAGCTGAAAGGAGCAGAGATAGAGAATTCCAAGACCAGAAACAAAAGGAAATTGAAGTAAGGAATTTTAACAAAAACATTGCGCTCAATAAGAACCTGAATGAAGCAAATTTCTCCAATGGAAAGCCAATTGATAGTGACATTTACACCTAAGAATGGAGAGATGAAGCTTGATCCCATAATTGCAGCAGGAGAGAAATCGTAAATACCTAATTTAATGTTTTAGCAAAAAGGATTTAGAGAATACCTTCCATCAGATTCAAAAGAAGAAAGAAGGGCAAGAGATTCAATACCAAGTTCAGCGTAACGATAATCTAAAGAAAGAGATCCACTCATTTATAACTACAAATGGGACTAACAAATCTTATATGGGCTATAATATTAGAAATCTTTCTCCTAATTCTAATCCTGCAAGTAAATATGCCTCAAATGAGAAGAAAGCTAATAACATGAATGACATCCTCAAGGCCCAAATTGAGGAGAAGAAGTTACTAGAAATGAAACAGAAATTGAAAGATCAAACTTATAGCGAGTACATACAGAGAAAGGACTCAGAAGCAGAATCTGCAGAGAGAAAGTCACAGAATTTATACAGACAAGCCAAAGTCAACTACCTGCAGTCACTTAAAGAGCAGATGAGAGAACAACAGCAGATGAAATACAGTTGGGTAGAAATGGATGAGAGAGAAAAATAAAATCAATAGACAAAAGTTAAAGGAACTTGCAAGAGCAAGCCCAGACAGATACAGAAGAAAAGCCCAAAAATTGGAAGCTTTAAGCTTAAAGAATACTAATAAAATAAGGGATGAGTATGGAGGAGCTAAGACTGACAGGCCAATTAATATGGGCACCACAGATTCGGTTGATAATATAAAAACATTAGATTTTACGAATGATGCTAAAATGCCAAAGCTAGTTAAAAAGGAAGTGAGGATTCAGAAACCACCAATATCTGATCCAAAAGGCTATATAACCGACTCTTCTAAAGATAGGACCCCAAGATTGCCTCTTCGAAACTCTCAATATGGAAAATCGATACTCACAACTCCACCAAAATATGAATATCAGTCATCAAATGAAGGTCAGATTTCAATGTCTCAGTATAAGAATGCAGAAGATAAATCAAGGAATAGGAATTTTCTAAAGAATGCTTATTCAGATTTTACTAAAAGTAAGTAAAGACTATAATCTCTAGAATCAATAGGAGATGGGTACCATCCATCCCTCCCTCTTATCTCGAGGGACTCAAAGGTAGCATCATCGTTGCAAATGAATGCGAAGCCAATAAAGTCTATCCTCAAATCGCTACCTCCAAAGGTAAAATTTGGTTCTAATTTTACAGAGAACACTGAACAAAACTCCAATTAGGAAATCTAACAGATCAAACCAGAAAATGATGGGTCTTGAACAGATGCTCAACAATAGGATCGTTGGCGCACTGAGAATGGATAATGTCAACATGTCCATAAATCCTTCATCTCGACTATATTAAGGACAACTAATTTTGTTCTAAAGAGTTGGCTTAGCATTTCTCTAAATTTCATCTAACAAAAGATGGCGGTCTTGAACCTTTTAGTAACTGATCATGTAACCGATGTTATACGTTTGTTTATATCAAAGGGAAAGATCAAAGGTATGACCTTATATATTGTATCCTACTTCAGAATTATACATGTAAAATCTATATTTAGAGCCTTATTATTTATTCTGGAAGCTAATAGGTCTTTAAAAGTAATAAATACATTTTTTTACATTTTGAGGTAGTTTTAGACGCCAATGTGGATAATAAATAATTCGTTCTCTGCTTCAACTTTTCGATCAAATTGGGGTTTTGGGGTTTTGGGGTTTTGGGGTTTTGGGG